TGAAGCTCTCCAGGGGCCTGGGGGCTGCTGTCCTCGTGCTGGTGGCCATGGGGGGCTGTTGTGGGGCTCCTGGAAGTTGGGGGTTAAGCTGTGGGAGGTTGCCAAGGAAATAGAGCACTAACCCCAAAGCAGGAGCCCCAGGACACCTGGGGCAGTGACCTCCAGGGCTGCTGGTTTGATGAGCTGTGTGTGGGGCTCTGACCCAGCTCACCTTCCTACCCCCTCCCTCCTTGTAGAGCCCCTGAGGTCTTCTCAACACGTGTGTCCCTAAGAGTCTGTCCTGCCTTGTCTCTCCTCCAGTGGCTGATGTTGGTGGCAGGATCTTCACCACTGCTCTGTCTGAAAAGACCAGCATCTTGCTTGGACCACATCTTGCTCCTTCTTCTGCTGAGCCAGAAGGTCCCAAGATCCAGCCCTTTCTCCAGCTTCTAGGAGGAGGAGACCAGGAGGGACGTGGCTCTGAGCAACCTGGGCTGATGGGAGGTGTCCCTGCCCATGCAGGGGGTTGGATCTGGATGATCTTTAAGGTCCCTTCCAACCCATCCAACCCAACCTATGATCTCCCAGGCTGGGGGTTGCATATGGACTTCCCTGTTGTTGCTGGATCGCATGAAGCCTTCAGAAAGTTTGGAAGGCATCTGGATCCACAACTTTGCACCTGGGGAAACCACTTCTGAGTTAGGAGGATCCAGGTTCCTCAAGGTGTCTGACCATGGAGGTGGCATTTTACCAGCTCCAAGGTGGGACAATGAGTTCCTATCATTCCCTTGGGGCCTGGGCTGCCTGGTTCCACACCAGGGATGATGCTTCAGGCAGGTCTGTGTGAAATGAAACACTGGCTGGAACAGTCCAAGTCTCTGTGCTGGGACACTGGTAGGGAGGCTACTTGGACAGAAGCATCTTACTTGAAGAAGGATCAGCTGGTTTAGCTTCAAATATAGCAGGAACTCCACAGTCCAATGGGAAATCATCTTCCATGCTGGGATGGAGACAGACTTCCTTTAGTAATGAGTCTTCCCAGGGGTCAGGAAGATCTTCCCAGTGTTGGTGGGTACACAGCACCTTTCAAAGCCCAGTGGGCAAATGGTGATGGAGGAGGATAGGACCCTGTGGAGCAAAACTGAGGTGTGGACTTCAATCCCTGCCTGCTTGGATCCAGGTGGAAAAGCAGAGCTAGTCTGACCTCACCCCCATGAAAGCTTGGGGGAAAGCAGTCAGGAGGATGATGTGGAGAAAGAGAAGAGCCATGGCTATGTTGAAAGAGTTGGATCCAGTCTCCTTTCCAGCAGAAGGAAAGTGACTTTTGAGGGCCCTGATGTTCTGCAAACAAGATGAGCATCCCCAGGCAGCAAAGAGGGACCTGCCTCTGCTTCTGCACAGAGGCAGGTTTGGTCTGGCTGTGGGAAACACACCTGGTGGGCACGTTGCAATGGGCAGCTCCCTCTGGGGGAGAGGAGAGGGCAGAGGATGCACTGGGGGTCCAGGTGGAGAGCTCTGGGCCTGATGTGGCTTTGGTGGTTGAAATAGCTGGTTCCTGCCCAGTTAGCAGCAGAGAGGTCTCCTCTTTCTAGCCCCTATCTTGGCCAGGAGAATGTGACTGCTCAAGAAGGAACTCATTTCAAAGGCTGAGGCCCCAGGAGGTGTGTAAAGCACAACAAGCCCTGTTGATGTGTGAGCTTTCTTGCCAGGCTCTTACTCTCAACCCTATTGCCCTAAAAAAGCCTGAGGAGAAGAATTTGAATCCAAATTCCCCTCCCCTTGTCAGCACCTCTGTAAATCACTCCCTTCCCATGAACTTGTCTGCAGGCCCAACCATTCCTGGCCAGGGCTGGAAGGGAAATGCAGAGGAGAAGCCTGAAGAAGAGGCAAAAAGTCCTATTTTCTCACGTGCTCCTCATGTTGTTACTCCTGTTGCACCATCTGTTGTCCAAGTCATTTCAGAACCTGTTGCTGCTTAAATAATCTGTTGTCAGTCATTTCAAAGCAGTGTAGCTTGTGTCTACAGGAGCTGAGCTGGTGTCCAAGGGCTGGAAGTTCTCCTCCAGCAGGATGAAAGCTTGGGAGATGGCACCAGTGCTCTCTGATGGTCCCATCTAGGTGGAGAGAGTGCACTTAAGAAAGCCCTTTGCTCTCACTGCAGTTCAAAGCTGCTTCCATGGAGAACCTGGTGGAGCTGCAGCAGCAGATGAAGTTCTGGGTGCCTCCTGAACTGGTGCCTGCCTTTTAATAACTCAAACCACCATGACTGGGCTTTTACCTTCGGATTTGTCAGCTTTGATGGTGTTATTGACTCCACCTAGATGAGCTGCCAGGGCTTGGGTGATGCTTTGGAAAATGTTTGTTAGAAACCTACTCATGGGAGAGCAGAGCAAGCACTGGAGGGTGTGTGAGGTGTGAAGTCCTGCAGGGCTGGCCCCAGCCTGGTGGGTGGCTCAGAGCTGGCTGTGGAGCTGGGGTTTTCTTGCATTACCAATTGCAAGAGCTGCTGGTTGAGAAATGTGAGAGCAGCAGGGATTGCCAGCACGATGTCCTCCTGCCCACCAGCAAGTCAGTCCTGCTGGGGCATTCCTCCTCCTGCCAGATCTAGCAGGGGTTAAGAATCCTAGAGCCATTTTGGTTGGAAAAGACCTTTAGGATCTTCCAGCCCAACCTCTAACCCAGCCCTGCCAAGGCCACCACTGCCCCATGTCCCTCAGCACCACATCTACAGGGCTTGGAAACCCCTCCAGGGATGGGGACTCCAGCCCTGCCCTGGGCAGCCTGGGCCAGGGCCTGACAGCCCTTTGGGGAAGAAGTTTCTCCTCATATCCCACCTCACCCTCCCCTGGCACAACCTGAGGCCATTTCCTCTTGTTCCTGGGGAGCAGAGCCCGCCCCCCCTGGCTCCAACCTCCTCTCAGGCAGCTGCAGAGCCAGCAGGTCTCCCCTCACCTCCTTGTCTCCAGGCTGGACACCTCCAGCTCCCTCCGCCCCTCACACTTGTGCTCCAGCCCTTTCCCCAGCTCCCTTGCCCCTCTCTGGACACACTCCAGCCCCTTGATGTCCTTCTTGCAGTGGGGAACCCATTCAATGTCCTTCTTGCAGTGGGGTGGTGGCACCTGGGGAGCTGCTTGGAGCATGTCAGAGGCTCCCCCAGCCTCTGTCCCTTCCTTGACCACCCAGGACTTGTGGTCACTTCCCACCAAGGACCCACATCCCCCCCGGGGTAGTGACTTCTAGCCCACAGGGACATTTACCAGAAACCCTGAGTCCCTTTTGACTCACCCCTGCCTCTTGCTTCCCCTTAACCCCATCGGTGCAGGTTTGTCTGCCCCTCTCCATGGGATGGAGCAGCAGGTGAGGCCCTTCCTACCCCATCCTGCCTTCTCCCAGGGGGTAACACTCCTCCTCCCCGGGGGTTGTTTCACTGCAAGGAGCCCAATTCACCCAGAGAAGCAGCATGAGTGGCTGGGACACCTGCTGGGTGGTGCTGCTTGGTAGAAAGGTGCAGAATCAACTGCAGAGGCAGAGCAGGCAGGTCAGGCACTGCCTGGAAAGTGAGCCCAGCAGCACCTCGGGCTCCAGGGAAGGGTGGAGGGGATGAGCCAGAGGAGCTGGTCTCCTTGCTTGAGCTTTTTCTGGGGGTGAGGTTGGCTGGAGGAAAGAGCTCGGCCAACACGGGTCACCCCAAAACTCCCTGCAGGTGGGGCCAGGGGACTCTCCACGTCCCATCCTGCCTCCAGATCTAGCAACTTTAGGGATGGGAGTGGGAACAGAGGTGTGGGGAAATGGGATGCTTGGGTTTTGGTCACCCACAGACCCGTGATACCCCTGCCAGCTGTGCTCCTGGGATGGGGTGAACACACCGGGGAGCTGTGGGTCAGAACAAGCTCTTTTGGTCTTGCCACTGCAGATTTTCACCCTGCCTTCCAGCCCAGGGGTCCCTTGAGGTCGGCTTGAGCAAGGCAGGAGGGCAGGAGCACCTGGGACCCCCTCCCATGGGTGCCAGGCACCCTCTCGTGGCCAGCAGCCCTGCTGGGTGCCCACGGGCAGGGCATCCTTGGGATGTATGGAGGGATCTGCCAGCCTTCCCATGGGAAAACCCTTTCAGGGAGCTGGGATTTGGGTTCTCCAGGCTCAGCTCAGGCTCCACTGGGTCCCCTTGCCTCTCTCTCCCCTGATTTATGCTGGGAGAAGCAAGGATTTGGACAAAAACCCTGGGAGCTGCCTTCTCCTCAGCCAGGATCAACCTGCCCTTCTCCCTCTGACACTTTTCCTCCCTCTGAGGAGCCTGCAAAATAAATCACTGCTTGGCATAAACAAAGCCTGAAGAGGTATTAGCCAAAAAAACCCCAACCCCAAACACAACAACCCTGTGCTCAGGAGCTTCACAAACTGTTTTGGTTTTTTTTCCCATGAGAGAAAAGCAGGAGAAGGGGGGGTGGGTTGTTTCCCCCCCCTCATCACCCCTTTCCCCAGGGGTTTCTCCACCTGCCCACCCAGTTTCCCTCCCTCCCACCACCACCTGGGAGCCAAACCTTAGGCTGCTGACAGGTGCCTCCCCTTCCTCTCACCCCTCCAAGTGTGTGTGTGTGTGGGGGGAATGATTGGAAGGAAAAACCCTGGTGGCTTTCCCTGCAGGAATGTTGCTGGAGCCTCAGCCGAGAGGGGAGCAGTGGGGTTGGGGGGTGCTGGGTGTTCCCCCCTTCTTGGCTGGCTCAGCATGGTCCCACTGGGTGACTGGGGTGGGAGGGGAGTCCCTGATTCCCACCTGCTCCCGGGTTTCCTGCGACTTTAAAGTTCCCTCGGACGCCCAAGAGGGAAAAAAAGAGGGAGGAGAAAAGAGTTGGTTTCATCATCGCTCCCCAGAGCAGACTTATAAAAACTTGGAGCTCTCGCTGCCTGCCTCACTGCCGGGCTGGGAGGGGGTCTGGGGAGGATCTTAGGGGCTGCCAGCAGTGGGAAAAGAACCAGGCAGCTTTTTTGGGGGGCTCCTCAGGAAGCCCCCCCCCACCCCAACCATGGGACTTCACCCTGAAAGCGGGAAAGCCCCGGTCGACGCGCCCCAAAGTTCTGGCACCTGCTCCAGGAGGATCTTCTGCAACATCAAGGTAAGGAGCAGTGCCTGGCAGGGATGGGATGCTTCCCAGGCAGGGAGGGAAGCAGGATTCCTTCAGCAGGGGTGGACCCCAGCCCATCCCAAAGGGTCCCCACAGCCCCACCACAAACACCCAAACCAATGTTTGCTGAGATGCCGAGTTTGAAACTCGGCTCTTGGTGCGATCCTGGGTAATATTGCTGGGAAGTCCTGGGTAACAGTGCTGAGCTGCCTCCCACAGTGCCCGGGAAGAGCTGGAAGGGTTCTGGAGTGGTGCTGTACCCAGCACCTGGGCATCAGTCCTCTGCGGAAGTGGGCAGCCCTCCGTGGGTTGCAGAGCTCACCCACGGCGCCGGGTACACCGTGTGCTGCTGCGTAAGGGAATGATTAACCACATCCTGGTGGGAAAGGAGAACACTGCCCTATCATAATGCCAGCTTGCTTGGGGAAAAAAAACAACACAACAAAAAACCTTGCTGAGCCGGGCATTTGGAGTGACAAGAGGCCAAATCTGAGCGGGTTGAAGTGGGTTTTGTGAGGGTGGCTGCCTGGTTACTCACCTGCCCTGGTGAGCAAGGTGAGAGCTGTCGTCTTCAGGCCAGTCCCTGCCTCACAGCTCACAGCCTGCAGGAGGAAACACCAGCCAGCCTGGCCACCACTTGCCTCCTCCACCCTGCCAACCCTCAGGCTTCTTCACCTGCCCCAGGTTTCTTCCCCCTGTGCAGTTTGGCCCCTTTTTTTTGGGGGGGGGGCAAGGCAGGGAGGCTGCTGCATGGGCTGGTTCCTGTCCCCAGGCCACCTGCCTGCTTTCTCTAGTACTTCCCTGCTGGGAGAGATTTTTGTGCCTTGCTTGGCAGCACCTCCACGTGTTGGCACCTGGAGCAGCCAGGTGCAGGGTTTTTTTTTGGGAATGATGGGTCCCAGCAAGGCCTGCCCAAGGGCAGAGCAGCTTTGGGTGCATGGGGTGGGGGGGAAGCTGGTAGCACCCCTGCTCGTGCCCAGGGTGCAGCTTGAAGGACTTGATGATCTTCACGGTCCCTTCTGACCAGGATGATTCTTTGATTCCCACTGATGTCATTAAATATAAGTGTGGGTTGTTTTTTTTTTCTTGGGGGTGGGGTGGGCTGGTGAGAGCACTGCAAGGCAGGGTTTGTCAGCACTTCCCAGCCCGGCAGGTTTTGGGGAGCGTGGAGCCATGGGTTGGGCTCTGTGGTCTGGGATCAGTATGATTTGCCACCCATTGTTCCTCACCTTGCCTGGAGAATGGCACTGCCCCCCCTCCTCTTTGGGCTGTGTCACCCAGGGTCACTGTCAGGGTGCCCTGGGGTACCCCAGGGCTGTTCCCAACAGGAGCAGCACAGCGGGGCCAGCAGCAAAGCTTTGGTGATGGGCTGGGGACTCCCAGGGCTGGGGAACATGATCTCAGTGGATTTCTTCCAGTCTTACATCCCTGAAGGTCCCCACTGACTGGGTTATTCCAGCAGGTGACCAGGCTTTCTTGGCTGGCAGAGCTCCAGGGCTGGGGGGGGAGCTCAACATTTCCTTGGGTGGTTTCAGGGCTGCTTCTGTGTTGCTCTTGAGGTGCCTCTGGAGGGAACTTGTGACCTGCCCCCTCCTCTGGCAGAGGTGGGAAACGTGGCCCCAACCACCTCCAGGGATGACCCCAAACCAGAGCCCTTCTTGTAGCTGATGCTCTTTCCTGGAAACCCCCAGTTCCCTTCAGCACACCAAAAAAAACCCAGGAATGGGTTGGTGCCTTCTCTAGGGTGTTAAACTTCAGGTTTTTTTTAAAAAAACCCACCCCAACAACTGATATTTCTACATCCCACAGGTACCCAGGGGGTTGGGTGCTCAGCACCAGGGAACTTGGGCAGGGGCTACATCCAGGAGCTCCCAGGGACGTTTGGTTGTGGGCAAGTGACAAGGGAGTGTCACTTTGGTTCTTTAAAGAGTCAGTGGGTTTTTGCTACGTGGAAGAGAACAGCCCAGCACTGACTCTGTGCAGGGTCACAAGGTCTTTGGGCTCTGTCAACGTGTGCTTGTGCCATGGACCACTGGGGATGGTGGGGAGTCAGGAGACAACTTCTTGCTTTTAAGAGCAGATGTGTATAAATTGAGAAGCTGGGAACATCCCCCCTACCCTTTCCTGACCTGTTCCCTCTTCCTGTGCTGTGCTATTTGTTGTTAATAATATTTATACATTAAAAAAACCCACCCAAACCTGCAGCAGGAAAGCAGCAGCCTGTGCACAGTTGTTAATCCTCTCAGCCCCTCCAAAATGGGTAGGAAGTCCAAGTGTCACCACAAATGAGTTTCCAGTTTGGGAAATGGGTGGTCAGAGCGTGCAGGAGGCATCTCAGTTCACTTGGCTTGGTGGCTCTTGTTTGCAGGAGGGACCCTTGGTGCTGGGAGGAACATGTTCTGGAAGGTTTGCATCCAGCACCTAACTGTGTGGGGAGCTGCTGGGGCCCTGCTCCACAAAGACAGGTCCTCTAGAGGGATGTCAATCAAACATGTCCTCAGATGAGCATTTTCTGGCCAGGACAATCTTTCCAAAGCAACAAAACCCCCTCCTTGGAGCAGGTAACCATGACATTCATGTTTATGCCCTCAGGGTCACAGGCCAGGATCATTTTTAGAGTGACCTTTGGAGGGCTGGGGGTGAAAAGACATTCTTTGTCAGTGCAAACCATCTTTCTTCTCCATGTTCTGTGTAATTTGGAATGCCACCTCTCCTCACCAGGGCCCATCTCTCTTGGGGTGGCTTCTGGCCCTGGCCCCATT